CCCTTTTTCTATGTCTAAGTGCTTTCTATCTTACATTAACACTGATGGATGCGGGAGCAACTCGGCGTTCAGGATCTTGCCCAAGGACTCCTTGACATGCAGACCGGAGCAGCCAGGAGTCGAACCTTCTATGCCTTAACTTATTGTTGTAAATAAAATATTACAACTAATCTGGATTCAGGAGCCGAGTTCATGCCAGGTGACCCTTCCAGTTATGAGCAGTGTTAAATTTTACTCAAAGTAAAAGCAAATATTGACGTTTGCAAAGATTTAAATTAATTTTCAGTGAAAGAAGAGGCCGGATCTGTTTATATTTGTTGATACTTTTGTTGTGTGAACAAGTCTGAAGCAATGATTTTACGGCAGGTTGTTTTCTACCTCTGAACTCGTTCACTGCAGTGTCGTCTTGGGGATGTCTCACATTTTTATCATCCAACACAAAAATCCCATTAAAGCTGGGGCTGCGGTCGAATGCTCAGTTTGAATCTGCTCATCATCAAGCTGATGCCTTGATTTAACATTTACAATAATTCAGTTTGCGTTTGTTTTTACATCCAGGTATAGGATACTTTATCATAGGTGTGTTTTGTTTGTCTCTGAGCAGAATGAAATAACACAATAAGAACATGTTGTATTCAGTCATATGACTGCAATACATCTAGAAACTCTAGAAATGCTGTGAAAATATTCTGCTCTCAAACTGGTGGAAATGTAGGAACGGGTTCCCAAAAGGCACCGAAAGTAGAACTGGGTCTAAACTGGTGCTGCATTGGTGAAAGACAGGTTTTAAAGTCTGTTAATATTTTGCTTTTTGCTGTATTTATTGTACATTTGCAGTAAAACGTTTGAAGTTTCTCTTTTTGTTGAATTATTGTTTTACGGCACACTGTAGGAACCCAGTACTCACATTTCTCCACATTCAGATTTCAAGTTTGAAAAAGCGATTTCAAAAAACTAGTGTTAGGAGGTTGAGGCTCCAACAACACGCGTTATTAAAACTCCTAGATTTGGCCTCTAGATGTCATCAGATTAAAAACAACCAATATTGGAATCCTGTTTATGATTGAGGGCCACAGCTACAATGCACGCAGGGGCAACATCAGTATTTATAAAGTGTGTGTATGATGTGTATCAGTTCTTTTC